CACTGTAGTGGTTGAATTGTGGTCCCCAAGACATGTCCACAGTGTGATCTTATTTGGAATAAGGGTCTTCGCAGATGAGGTTAAAAGTAAGGATCTTGAGCTGAAATCATTCCGGACCTAAGAGAGGACCTGTCCTTATGAGACAGAAAAGGAGAAGACACAGAGACACCATGAGGAAGGCCTGGTGAAGGCAGAGACTGCAGTGATGTGTCTACAGTCCAAGGGATGCAGAGAATTGTTGGCTGCTTCCGGAAGCCGGGAGAGAGGCAGGGAACGGTTGCTCCATCACAGCCTCCGGAAGCAAGCCTGCCAAAACCTTGATTTCAGACTTCTGGCCTCTGGAACTGGGAGAGGATACATTTCTGCTATTCTGAGTCACACAGTTTGTGTTCATTTGTTATGACAGCCCTAGGACACCAGCCCAGCCCCTTAGCAGCTGCGACCCCTGGGCAGAGAAGCCCCATTGAGCCTGTCTTCCCCTCTCTGTGAAATGAGTATAAACAAGGCACTGACCTTTTAGGTATGTGATGCAAATTAAAGAGAGTGTCCCTGACACCATAAAATCTCCTAGAAGAGAACATAGGCAAAACATTCTCTGACATAAATGGTAGCAGTGTCTTCCTAGGACAGTCTCCCCAGGCAATAGAAATGAGAGCAAAAATAAATGAATGGAACCTAATCAAACTTACAAACTTTTGCACAGCAAAGGAAACCAGAAACGAAGTGGAAGGACAACCTATGAGAATGGGAGAAAATATCTGCAAACGATGCGACTGACAAGGGCTTAATCTCCAGAATACACAAACAGCCCACACAACTCAGTAACAGAAAAACCAACAACCCAACCCCAAAGTGGGCAGAAGACCTAAGCAGACATTTCTCCAAAGAAGACACACCAATGGCCAATAAGCACATGAAAAGATGCTCAGCGTTGCTAATTATCAGATAAATGCAAATCAAAACTACAGTGAGGTATCACCTCACACCAGTCAGAATGGCCATCATCAAAAAGTCCACAAACAATAAATGCTGGAGAGGCTGGAGAGAAAAGGGAACCGTCCTACATTGTTGGTAGGAATGTAACTTTGTGCAGCCACTGTGGAAAACAGTATAGGGATTCCTTAAAAAACTAAAAATAGAGTTACCATGTGATCCAGCAATCCAACTCCTGGGCATATATCTGGAGGAAGCTCTAATTAAAAAAGACACACACATGCCAATGTTCATAGCAGCACTATTTACAACAGCCAAGACATGGAAGCAAATGTCCATTGACAGATGACAGGATAAAGAAGATATGGTGCATATATATATATATATATATATGTATATGTACACAATGGAATACTACTCACCCATAAAAAAGAATGAAATAATGCCATTTGCAGCAACATGGATGGACCTAGAGATGATTGTACTAAGTGAAGGAAGTCAGACAGAGAAAGGCAAATATCATGAGGTATCATTGTATGTGCAATCTAAAAAAAGGACACAAAAGAACTTATTTATAAAATAGAAAGGGACTTACAGACATAGGAAACAAACTTATAGTTACCAAAGGGGAAGGGGGGGAGAGATAAATTAGGAGTCTGGGATTAGCAGATCCAAACTACTATATATAAAATATACAGACAACAAAGTTACTGTAAAGCACAGGGAACTACATTTAATCTTATTATAATTTATCATGAAAAAGAACATATATATGTATAAGTGAATCACTATGCTGTACACCAGAAACTAACACAACATTGTCAATCAACTCTACCTCAATAAAGAAAAAAGAGAGCATGTTCTTTTAAGCAGTAAGTTGGCAAACATTGGTGAAGTGTTCAGAGGCAATCAGCGGCTGTTCCCTGGCTAGGGGTGTTTCAGGGAACAGTAACATAACAGTGACAGTTAAATGCACCAACTGTGTGCTGGGCACTGTTGTAAGTGCCTCTTGCTGCTGTGAAACAACACACACTTATTTGATGACAGTTTTGAGAGTCACAGCTGCAACATCAATTTCACAGGGTCAAAATCAAGGTGTTGGCAGGCCACGCTCCCGCGGGAGGCGAGGCTTGAGGGAGAATCAGTTTACTAACCGTTTCAAGCTTCTTTTCTAGCTGTGTTCTGTGCATCTCTTGGCTTCTGGCCCCTTCCACCATCTTCAGTACTAGTATCTCGCTTCAGCGGCAAACAGCTTTCTTCTTCATCAAATCTCCTTCTGCTTCCTTCTTATTAGGACCCTTGTGATTTCACTGGGGCCTCCTGGATGGTCCAAGGTCGTCTCCCCATCTTAGGAGTCTTAACTTCATCATCTCTACAAAGTCCCTTTTGCCACATAAGATAATGTTCACAGGTTCTAGGGATCAGAATGTTGACACCTTAGGAAGCCACTATCAGCCTACCCCTCCTGGAGGAGCCCAATGAGGTGGGCACTGTTATTAACCATCATTTTACAGAGGAGGACAGTAAGGCTCAGAGAAGTTAAGTAACTTTTCCACCATACCCCAGCTCAGCTGGCAGAGCTGGGATTTGAACCCAGGCAGCCTGGCCTCAGAGTCTAAGATGTTGGCTGCTCTCCTCTCTGTCTCCCTGGGGTCAAGCAGCCCCAGATTCAAATTCCAGGTTGGCTGCTGAGTAGCTTGGGGCCAGCACCTTCAGCTCTCCGAGCCTGTGTCTTTGTGTCTAACTGCTATAAACAACAAGGAACTACTATATGGCACAGGGAACTACATTAAATATCTTGTAATAATCTATAATGAAAAAGAATATAAAAAAGTGTATATATGTATATGTATAACTGAATCACTTTGCTGTAGAACTGAAAATAACACAACATTGTAAATCAACTATACTTCAACTAAAAAAATTAAATAAAATGGGAGTGAAAATGTTCACCTCCTTGGCTGGCTGGCTGGGGGAAAGGGATCAGGACTGCCCATGGCTTTGCTCCAGGGAGGTGTCCAGTCAGTGGTAGTTTAGCTGACCTTTGGATTCTTCTGGCTGGGCCTTTGCATCCTCCTTTGCAAAGTAGAGATGACTGTGAACTCCCTTAGTAGCTCAGAAAGTCCTGGTAAGACTGCTGAGTGCCCCAAGGAGGGACTCACTCTTAATCTCATCTTCTGACCTCCAAGAGACAGACTGAATAGTGTTCAGTTTCACTCTTTAATCAGAGAGAGGCAACTCAAACTACCTTGAGACACACGGAGAAAGTGTAAGCGCCTGAGCTCCTAATTTCCACGGCTTCATCTAATACCCTGGGACCTTGCAGTCTGGGACTCCTTTTCTTCAAGAGGCTGCCAAGTTGGTATAAAGTTCAAGCCTCACACAACCTGGGTCACCTGTGTTCATCTTTGCTGGAAATTAAAAATGTGAGTTAACCTTTGATTCAGTGATCTGTCTTCTTAGGAGCCATAATAATGGTCTCCATTTATTGAGAGCTTACAATATTTCAGGCCTTGTGCCAAGCACTCGATTGTTATTAATTCATTAATCCATTGAACTCTGCACAACAAACCCAGTAGGGAGGTGTTATGGCATCCTACAGATGAAACAGCTGAATTCCAGAGAAGTTTCATATATGGATTGCCCAAGATCGCAGTTTGTAAGTGATAGAGCCAGGATTCAAAGCCAGACTTGCTGTGGGAGAGGGTGTAGAGTGCATGCCTAGCAAGCGTGAGGTCCTGGGTTCAATCCTCAACTCCACCAAAAAAAAAAGCAAGTAAACCTAATTACCTCTCCCCTGCAAATAAATAAATTAATAAATAACCAAAGCAAAGCCAGGCCTTCTGGCTTCAGAGTCCACAGTCTTTTCTTTTTTTTTATTGTTTTATTTTTAAATAACTATAGATTCACAGTAAGTTTAAAAAGAAGTACAAAGAGGCCCTGTGTATTCTTTATCCAGTTTCCCCCAATGGTAACATCTTAATAACTATAACAAAAGCAGGAAATTGACATGGGTACAATCCACAAATCTTATTCAGATTTTGCCAGTTTTATATGCACTTGAGTGTGTCTAAAGTTCTGTGCAATTTTACCATGTGTTGGTTGGTGTATCCAATTCTATAATCAAGATACAGTCCTGCAGAGTCCACAGTCTTAATCGTAACAGGAGTCCTTTTTGAGCAAGGTCACAGATCATGTACTCACAAAGATAGGTGTCCACAGAAGTTCAAGGCAGTGCATTTGGCAATCTCTCCAACTGGGAACAACTCAAAGTCCCTGAGACCAGCTGGGCCAAATTATAGCTCATCTCTAGCACAGACCATCACACAGCAGTGTAAAAGGTTGCCAACCATCATTGTTAAGTTAATTATGTACAAATTTTGGTAAATGCATGTAACCCTCTGGACTCTGTAGCCAAATCCAGCAGATCCTTCTCTGAGCTTCTTCCAGTTCCTGGAATGCACCAAGCTCACTTACCACAGTGCCTTTGCACAGACTGTATCCTCTGCTTGGACACCCAACCCTTCTCACCCTCAGCCTCTCAGCCTCTCCTCCTATCCCTCTTGCAAGACATCGCTCACTTTTCTGTTTTGTGTTATTTCACACTTACTTTTGCCTTCCTTCATGAGGACAGGGATGAGGTCTGCCTTGTTCATCACCTTGACCCCCCTTTCGTACCCCATCTCCCACAGCACAGAGCCTGGCACTCAATGCTGATTTATAGACTTGAAGGAACGATTTCATCGGTTTAAAAATGTAAGCTTCCGTAACTATCTGTAAATTTCATTGGCAGGAGGGTGGGGGATTCCCCATCAAACCCCAGCAAAAGGTGGCAGATGTGCTGGCTTCCAGGAGTCATTGCCCAATGCCTGACAACTATTTATTAGAACCAGGAAAAGAGAAGCAGGCAGAGGCCAGACATAGAAGATGATGTATCTTCTCCCTGTAAGGACGTAATTCAGGCAGAAAGTAGTAAAACAAGCTTCAGGAACTCCCTTGCACACCGGCTCTATCCACTACCGCCTCCACCTGGGGGGCGCGGCGCCTTTAAGGCTCCCGGAAACGGGCCTCCAGGACCGGAAATGACTCTCTTTAGTTCCCTTCTTCACGTGGTCCGGGCGGGAAGTGACGCGCACGGCCCGGGAGCTGCAGACGCGGACGCCGACGAAGCCGGAGTCGCGGACACCGCGGGGTCTCCGGGACAGGTGACCGGGAAAGGGGGCCAGGAGCTCGCCCGGATAGGGCGGGGCCTGACGCCCCACGTGGGGGGAGCGGGCGCGGGCGCGGGCGCGGTAGCTAGCAGCCCGCGGGGGCGGGGCCAGAGCACTCCGCGGGGGGCGGGGACTGGACGCCCACATGGGAAGGTAAAGGGGTGCTGCCGGGGCGGGACGTCGGCGCGTGGGCAGAGCCGGGGTGGGCCGGGCGGCGGGAGGGCCTGGAGCGGGGGTGAGTAGCTGGGGGCGGGGCCATAAAAGTTGTGCCCGGGTTGGGGGCGTGGCCAAGTGTTACCTGGTGAGCTGGGGGCGGGGCCGGGGCGCTGGCAGAAAAGGCTGGGGGCGGGGCCAGAAAGTTTTCCCTGTCCTGGAAGTGGGTCCAGGAAGTCAAGGGCAGATCCAGAGGCTGACGACAGGGTGAGGGAGGAGCCAAGAAGATGCGGGCAGGAGCGGGGAGCCTGGGGGTGGCTGTCAGATGCTGGCAGGGCGTGCTGGGGGTGGAGCCAGAAAGTTTTGTGGGAGGCTGGGGCGGGGCCAGAGTGTCGTGGAGAAGCTGGCCGCCGAGCCAGAACCTTGGCTAGGGGCGCCAGGGGCGGGGCCAGATATTTACGCGACGAGGCGGGGGCGGGGCCAGGGGCGTGACCAGAAGGTTGGCGGGGTAAATGGGAGACAGGACACAACTGCTGGCTGGCGAGCCGAAGGCGGGGCCGGTATAATAACGCGAGAAGGAGGGGCCGGGTTTAGGGTGTTGCCTGGGGAGCTAGGGGGCGGGGCCAGAGCGTTGGCTGGGAAAGTAGGAAGCGGGGGCCAGATTAATAACGCGGGTCTGTGGGCGGGGCCAGGGGGGTTTGGCGGGAAAGGCGGGGCCAGAAAGTTTGGCCTGTCCGGGGCGGGGCCGTGGCGTTCTCGACTGGGTGGAGACTGGAGATTTTCCCTAGAAAGCCGCGAGCGGGTGGAGTTTTGTCCGCGCCTGGTCAGTATTCAGAGGAGGTTGAGCTATACTCAGGAAGTCTTCCCAGTGAGTACCGGGCCTGTTTGCGGAATCTTTTTTGGGGGTGCAGGGAGGCAGCGGCCCCTTTCTTGGGATGTTGGGGACGGGGCTAGAACATCCCTAAGAGTAGGGGCAGCGAATAGGAGTGGGGTTTGAACTGTTTTTGAGTAGGGGTTGTAAGATGTTTCTGAAACTCCTGGGAATGAGGCACATCTAGAGTGTTAGCGGGGATGTGAGCGGCATCAGAATGGGCACAGGGAGCTGGGCCTAGAATTTTCTTGTACAGGTTCGGGGAGAGGCCCTACCTAGATCTCTCTTAGGATTAAGGCCCGGGTTACAACACCCAGTACAAGGGTGTGGGGACTGAACTAGAATTTTCATTTGGAAGGGGGCGGAGTTGAAAGTTTCCCTAAGTGCTGGGGCAGGGCCAGGACATTTTCTCAGGATGGGTGTAACTGCATTGTTTACATGGGAAATGGGTGGGTCCAAAACCTTAAGGGGAGAACAGGAGTCTAAACTTTTCCACGTAAAGGGCGGGCTAGCACTTTAAGAAGACGAAGTGGGAGTGAGGACTAGGATTCTCTTGGAGTGCAGGTGTTTATGCGTGTTCATGCAGTGTGTGCATTCAAGGAGGCCCCAGTATGGGAAAGGAGGAAACAGATTGGGTAAAGCCATTGGCCTTAGTCCTTCTGTTCTGTCTACCTTCAGGGACCCCCAGTGCTGTGTCCAGATTCCACAGGGAAGGTTTGCTGGGACCCTGGCCCCACCTAGCCAGTGAAATGGTGAGATGGAAAGTGGGATCTTTGGAATCTGAGATTTGGGGCTGGGGCCTTGGATGAGGAGACCCATGTGTTAGACTCTGACACCCCACTGAGTGGCCCTGGGGTGGGTATAGGTTTTTCTTACTGTCTCTCCATTGTCTCCCCCTGTCAGTCAGCCACACTGGACCTGAAATCGAAGGAGGAGAAGGATGCTGAGCTGGACAAGAGGATCGAGGCTCTTCGGCGGAAGAACGAGGCCCTCATCCGGCGCTACCAGGTGCCCTAGCCCCGCCCTGGGAGACCCCATCCCCTCTCCTCCCCGCAGTGAGTTTCCCTCACCTCTCCCTTCCTTAAAACCTTTTCATTACTCCTCATCACTCTCAGGATAAAAGCCAAAGGCCTTAGCCTGGGATTCCTTCTTTCATTACATCATTCATTCATTTCTTCACAAATATTCACCAGTGTCTTCACTGCACCAGGTCCTCTGCTGAGTGGTTCTGGGGCAACAGCAGTGATGGAGATGGCCCTGGGCCTGCCCTTCCAGGGCTCACAGGCTAGTAGGGGCATAGACTCGGCTTTAGTCAGTGATGACCCATAGCAGGCAAGACTGCAATGGGAAGTTCAGGGTTCTGTGGGAGCCCAGAGGGGGCTCCTTATCCAGCCAGGGGGATATCAGGGAGGGCTTCCTGGAGGAGGGGATTCTGGGACTTGAAGGGTGAGTAGACATTAGCCAGTTGAAAAAGAGAGCATAACATACTTCAAGCAGAGGGGACAGTTTGTGCAAAAACTTGGAGCTTAAAGTTGGTGGGTTAGTTGTGGGGTATGGACCTGGAGAGGTCAGCTGATGTCCGGCCATGCAGGGCCCAGAATGCCACTAGGCTAAGAGTTTGGACTTTTTCCTAAGCATACTGAAGAGCCATGGAGGGCTTTGAGCAGGAGTAGAGCCAGGTCAGAATAGCTTTTTAGGAGATACCCTCTGGCTGCTGTGTGGTGGTGAATGGGAGGAGGAAGCAGGGGTAGGGACTCTGGTGAGGGGCACGGGAAGGAGATGTGTATATGGAGAGGAGGTTCCTGGCCTGGGACAGAGCTACTGGGAGAGGCTCCGTGACCCATGGGCAGTGGCAGGAGGTGGAGAGGAGAGGGGGTCCAGGATGAGGCCCAGGTCCCTTTCACAGGTGATAGAGCAGGTGGTGAGGCTGTCCCTGAGATGGGATGAGGAGTGGGTTTCATTTATTCATTCTTCATACATTCATTCATTAAAAAAAAAGCATATTGAGCCTCTCTTGTGTGCCAGGCAGTGTTCTAGGCACAGGGTATACATCAGTGAACAAAGCAGACAGATATCCTTATCCTCAGGCAGATTCTGTTGCAGTGGGGAGGCAGGGAAGCAAAATATACATAATACCAGGAAGTGAACAGGGATGGGTAAGAAGCTTGTGGAGAGGCTGGACAGGGAAGGCCTTTCAGAGAAGGGGAGCATAGACCTGAAGGAGGTGAGGGACTTGAGGGACTGAAGGATCTCTGGGGAAAGTGTTCCTGGCAGAGGGAATAGCAGGTGCAAAGGCCCTGGGGCAGATTTAAGGCTTGTATTTTCTGAGAACAGTGAGGAGGCCAGAGGGAGTGAGGGGAGAGAGTGGGATATGAGGTCAAAGGGTTGACGAGATCAAACCCTGTGGGACCTCCTAGGCTGTGGGGAAGTCTTTGGTTCTTACTCAGAGATGGGCACCACAGGAGGGTTCTAAGCTGGGGATTAGTGTGGTACAATCTAGGGGAAGCTGCTGAAGTGGCCAGCTTTTTTGTTGAGGGCTCAGAAGAGAGATCTGGGCTGGGGCAGACTTGGGAGGAATTCAGGGGCTGTGGGAATCTGGTTGGTGCACCAGACCTCTGACACTCCCTATCCCTGATGTCTGCCCCTAGGAGATTGAGGAGGACCGTAAAAAAGCTGAACTCGAGGGAGTAGCCGTGACAGCTCCCCGGAAGGGCCGCTCGGTGGAGAAGGAGAATGTGGCAGTTGAATTGGTGAGCTCCACGCCGAGATGGGGACTCATGAGGCCAGGGAGGGGGTGAGAGGTGAGACCTGAGTGCATTCCCAGCTGCCCCAGACCCATGCGGGCCTCGGTCCTCACAGCTGCCCTCTGGGCCTGGGGTGTCCCTGTCTCCTGGTCTCAGTGAGTGTACTTTCCCCCCTCCCCACTTCCAGGAGAAGAACCTGGGTCCCTCCCGGAGGTCCCCTGGAACCCCTCAGGCCCCCAGGGACCAGCAAGGGAGGCCGGACCCCCCCGCGGCAGGGAGGCCGGTCCAGCATGGGCCGGGCAGCCCGCAGCTGGGAGGAAAGTCCTGGGGAGCAGCCTCGACGAGGAGCTGGGGGCCGTGGCCGGAGGGGTCGGAGCAGGGGGTCCCCTCATCTGTCTGGAGCTGGAGACACCTCAACTGCTGACCGCAAATCCAAGGTAGGAGCTTGGCGGGGGCTGGAGTCCTCTGGCGAGATTCTGTGTTGTCCTGTTTCTCTTCTCACTCTCAAATGGATTTTCTCCTCTGTCTATCTTTCTGTGTCTCTGTTTCTTTTTTGGCTCCTCCCTCCAGGTCTCTTTCTCCTCTTTTCTCCCTCCCTCTTCCTGACCAGTGCCTGTGTGTACTCTTCCTGTCTCTTTCTCTCTGTCCCCCCAGTTTTGCTCTGCCTGCTGTGTGCTTGCCCCCTCCACCTGCCTTCCCTTCCCCATCTCTCTTCTCTTTCCAACGCTGTCTGGTGGGCTCTGTCTAGTGCGCACGTGTGCTCTCTCTCTCTCACTCCCTGGCTTTTCCGCAGGGAGCAGTGATCTTAACTGGAACTGCTTGCTCCCGGGGCCCCGCCACACAGGTTAGCAGTGTGGGATGCTGTCTAGCGTGGTGGTTTTGAGTCCGCTGTGGACTTGGGGTCAACCTGCTTCTGTTAGTTCTCAGTCCATGGGCAGCTCACTTCCCCTCTGGGAGTTTCTGGGTTCTCACTCTTAAAACGGGAATGAAAATCAAGTATAAAAGTTATTGTAAGCATCATGTGACATCAGGCATTGAGTCCTTCAGAGCAAACATTCAACGAATGTTACTTAAGGACGTTTATTATTTGTTATGTCATTTATACGTACTAAGCTGTCGTAAGAAGACCCCAAAATGCCATGGCTTCAATCACGTGGAAGTTTATTTCTCTTTTGTGTGCTGAGTCCTGGGGATGAAGACGTCGTTTCCAGCAGCTTGGCCATGTGTTCATCTAAAACTTTGTTACTGTGGAAGAAGGGAAGAATGATGGGGGTCACCTAGCCATCTGCCAGGTTACTACTGTTATTATGTGGCAGAATTTCTGTGGCAGCCATGGTGTGTTGGGGCCCCCAACCCCTTTCCCAGGTTCTGTGCTTTGCTAGAATGATTCATGGCTAAGATTTGTTACAGTGAAAGAATACAAAACAAAATCAGCAAAGGGAAAGGGCACATAAGCTGAAGTCTAGGGGAAACCACGTACCAGCTTCCAAGAGTCCTTGCCCATTGGAAACACCTAGGCTGTGTGTAATTCCTTTAGCATCGAGTCATGATAGCCGATGTCAAGAGTTGTCTGCTAGGGACTCATTAGAGACTTGATATCCAGGCTTTTTATCCGGGTCTGGTCTTGTCAGTCCCCTCTGTCTAGTACACACGCAAATTTCAGACCCCCAGGAGGAAGACGGACGTTCAGCACACACTGTATTGTGTGCACGAACAGTCCAGGCACATTGAGCCCTCTTACCAGTTAACTGGTGACTGGAACACACTTGAGCCAGGTGCCCAGATGCCAGCCAAGGGCTAAGAAAAGAGGTTCAGATGGTAACAGACCCTAAGGTTCTTCCTGACGCCCTGTATCTCTGTCTTTGTCATCCCCCCACCCACTTCCTGCCTCCACAAGGAGTGGGAGGAGCGGCGCAGGCAGAACATTGAGAAGATGAACGAGGAGATGGAGAAGATTGCAGAGTATGAGCGCAACCAGCGGGTCAGTGGCGCGGGCGCCCCCCGGCGGAGGGATGGAGCCGTCCAGCCTGGGGAGCCCGCCAACCCCCCGCTCCCCGTGCCCATCCGTGCCCGCAGGAAGGCGTCCTGGAGCCCAACCCGGTGCGGAACTTCCTGGACGACCCCCGGCGACGCAGCGGGCCCTTGGAGGAGCCTGAGCGGGACCGCCGGGAAGGCAGCCGGCGGCATGGGCGCAACTGGGGGGGGCCCGACTTCGAGCGGGTGCGCTGTGGCCTCGAGCAGGAGCGGCAGGTGGGTGCTGGCCTCCGGGGCGCCCTGGGCCACGAAGTACTGTCCTGCAGCTGGTCCCCGGGTTGGGCAGCTGGGTGTGGGCCGAGTGCCAGGTGCAAGGCTGCCAAGACAGAGCAGGGCTAGGCCCCAGCCTTGCACCCCGTCTTTACCCCCAAGTTGATTGTCGTTTCTTGCATCAGTACCATCCTGCCTTCCTCTGATAGCTTTGTGTGACCTTGAGTGAGTGGCTCCACCTCTGAGTTTAGAGGGCCTGGGGGAGGAGATGGGGGGGAGGGTTGTGGACTGGGGCCCTGACTGCTGGTCTGCTGGGGGCAGGGCCGCAGAGCCGGCCTGGGTGGCACCGGGGACATGACGCTCTCCATGACGGGCCGCGAGCGGTCAGAGTACCTGCGCTGGAAGCAGGAGAGGGAGAAGATTGACCAGGAGCGGCTGCAGAGGCACCGCAAGCCCACGGGCCAGTGGCGGCGGGAGTGGGATGCTGAGAAGACTGATGGCATGTAAGTCTCATCCCTGCTCACCCCTGTTTGGCTCCTTGACCTTGGCCATGACTTCTGACTCCTTTGCATCTCCGGTTTCTCACCCTGTGTATCCGTCACCCATTGCTGTGTAATGCTGTGTCACCACCACCAAATCTCGGTAGTGCCTAAAAGTATTTTTTTCTCATATGGTCATGGGTCCCCTGGGTTTGGCTGATCCAGCCTGGACTAGAAGCTGTGGGTATGCCTAGGCTTGGCTTCTGCATGTTCAGCTCACTTCTGTCCTGTGTGTGTTCATCCTGGGGTTCATGCTGAGGGGAGCATCCCTCTAGCCTGTCCCCCACCAACCCAAACCCCTTATCCTGGTGGCCTTATTATCCTCAAGTCTGACTCTGTACCCTTTTGGGTCCCAGGAAACATCCTGTTAGTCAAACTTAAAAGCGAAGGCATCATCGACAGGAGGACTAACTTCCATACCAGAGACGGAGAGGGTTCTGGAAGAGCCGCCAAACGGCAGTGTTAAGAGCGGCAGTTGTAGTGTTTCCATCATCCTCTCTCCTTTGCCACAGTAGAAGTTTTCACACCTAAAACTTACTGTTGGTGCTGGCTTAAGAAGGAGGATCTTGTCATGTGTGCCTGGGGGTCAGAGCACTTATTTTTGGATTGTGAGCTCAGCGTGTGCAAGTGTGAGAACTATTTTGCATACAGCGTAGCTGACCTTTCTAAGGTATAGGCAACTGGGCTTTTGGGGAGATGTTCTCAGGATTAAGAATGAGAAAAGTAATTTTTTCTCTTGTGTCCCCAAAGCAGCCTGCGGCGAGTTTCCGTAATGCATGGCTGCATTGATTCCTTAGCTTACATTTGTTGATTCCCTCCTATGTGTCATGGAGGGTTCTAGGTGATGGGGATAGAGCAGTGAGGAAAATGCTTCTGTCTTCGTGGAACTTAGAGTCCAGTGGGAAAGATGGGTAATAAATAGATCTAATGTTAGGTCATGGAGAATAATGAAACAGGGTATGGAAATGGATGGGGGCCATTGTTTTCAACTTAGATAATATATGCAATAATATGTGATTACTTTAGACAGAGTTTAGGAAAGCCTCTAAGCCGAGGCCTGACAGAGGTTAGGGAGTGGGCCACTGAGAGGTCTGGGGAAGAGCGTCCTAGGAGCAGCGAGTGCAAAGTCCCTGAGGTAGGGGCTCCATGCGGTAGGAAGACTTGCTTAGCTGAGGAGGCAAGAAAGAGTGATAGGAAATTAGGCCAGACAGGAAGCTAGGGATTATATACTTCCAAATTTCTGTTCTGTGGTAGGGGTGGGGTGTCAAGTGCTGAAGTTTTTCTTTCTGTATTTGTTACTATGATGACACAATTGCCTCCTGTCCATCACCTGGTCCTGTCCTTTTAGTCGGTGACCCCCTCTGGCTGTCTGTCTCTCCTGTGATCTTGAATTTTGCCCCCTTCTCGTCCCTTTATCTCTTCCTGCCCCTCTTGTTCTCCCTGTACCCTCAGCTGCCTGCTCACCTTCTGTCTCTTTTCCCAGGTTCAAGGATGGCCCGGCCACTGCCCTTGAACCATCGCACCGCTACGGTGAGTGGGTGTCCTTGGGTGGGGTGAGGCAACTGGCTGGGCCAAGCATGGGGGTCGTTTGTGCCCTGCCCTCCGCCCTTGACTCCCCCTGGGTTTCGTTGCAGACGATCAGGCCTGGGCTCGGCCCCCCAAGCCCCCCACTTTCAGGGAGTTCCTGTCCCAGCACAAAGCTGAGGTCAGCCGCAGAAGGAGGAAGAGCAGCCGACCCCAGGCCAAGGCAGCCCCCCATACCTACAGGTGGGGGCGCCCCTTCCCCCGCACGTGCCCAACCCCAGTGAGGCTATGTGGCTCCACCGCTGGTCATTCTTTGGCTTGTGTGTGTAGGGGTGTGTCTGTCTGTCGTGTTGTTGCCCTGTCTGTTTCTCGGGCACTTGTCTCCCTGTGGGTCAGGAGCTTGGTTGGTTTTGGGGGCGTTGGGGCCTGGCTCTCCACTTTATCCTCATCTGTCCATTACTCGCTTCCCACCCAGCTTCTCTCCTGCCACGCGGACCCCCTCCATCTGTCTGTCCCTGACCCCTGAATTCTGCAGCTCTTTCTCTGGGGAGGAGTCAGAGGTGGGAAGCCCCTGCCTCCTATCCACCTGGGCTTCCCCCCTTTCCTCTGTCTCCTCCAGTGACCATGATGACCGCTGGGAGACGAAGGAGGTAGCGGCCTCTGCGCCTGAGCCCCCACAGCCTGCTCCCCCGGAGGAGATGCCCATGCAGGTAGGGTGGGCTGTTGTCTCCAGAACGGGGGTGTGGTGGGGCTCGGGGCCCGCACCCTCTCCCCTACCTGCCTGTGTTCCTCACAGCTGCCCGAGACCCCAGCCCAGGACTGTCAGCCTCCTGAGGACGAGGGGGAGGAGGGCGAGGCGGAGGACGAGGATGAGGAGTGGGAAGACGTGAGTGGGGACGAGGAGGAGGTCGAAGAAGAAGAGGAGGAGGTTGATGAGGAGGAAGAAGAACCAGCCTCAGACCACCCACCCCAAGAGGCTGAGCCCAGCAGGAGCCCCACCCTGGAGTGTGGTGTCGAAGAGCCCACCAGGCCCGAGGAGCCCCAGCCGCTTCCCCAGGCCCCTGCCACGCCTGCTAGCCCCTTCTCGCCCCCCGGGGGCCACCAGCCCGTGTCCGACTGGGGTGAAGAGATGGAGCTGAATTCTCCCCGGACCGCCCACTCGGCTGATGCCCTCTCTCTGGGTGAGGCTTGGCCTTTTGAAAGTGCATGAAGTGGGCTGCTTGTGTGTGTGCTCAAGGGGTGCGTGGGGGACCCTCAGGCTGGGCCCTGGGACCCTGTGTGCCTCATGGCCCCTGTGGCTAGGGAAGATGGTCCATGCCTGTCTCTGGATGCCCATCCTCAGATCCTGCCCCTGCTCTGAACCATTCAGGGTCCCCTCCCCAATAAAGAGTTCACATCCTCAAATGACATTCCCCAAGTGTGTCCTTGAACTCCCTCTGACTTCCCCAGGGCCTTCTGTCTTGGGGTTGGGGGGATGTTTGGAGAAGGGGCTTGACTGGGCCTCCCCCTTCCCCAGGAGGTGACCAGCCAGCCCCTGCCTCCCTGGAGAGTGGGCCCAGCCTCCCAGGAGCCCAGAAAACTGAAGAGGAGGGGTCTGAGGCAGCTCCAGGTGGGGGAGTGGCTGGGGCAGTGGAGGTGGCCTTCCTTCCTCTTCTTCCTCTTGGGTTGCGGGGAGGAGGGTTTGAGGGGAGTAGAATGGAGCAGAGTGGGGCCCACTATGGGTGTGTGGGGTAGCAGCGGGATGTGGGGGTGTAGTTAGACTGCTGGGACAGGGTGGCAGGGACTCTGGTGGTCAAGGGGGTGGAGCTAAAGAAAGGACTTTTGTGCCCAGTGACTAGGAGTTGAATGTGTATGGGCCTGGGGGTGAGGAGGTGGGGCCAGGTTGGGAGTAGGATTTAGAGGCCCAGCTCAGGGGGGTTGGAAAGTAAAAAAAAAAATGAGGGTAGGCACAGTTCAAGGGGAGAAGCTAAAGGCAGGATTAGACATTTAAATAGCTCAAAAATAAGAATAGAGAGGGGCAGAGTAATGGATTTAGCTGTGTGGGTGGAATTAGGTTTGACGTGTAATTGACTGGGGTAACTTAGAATAGGAATACATAAAATAGTGGGGTAAAAAATTGGGGTAAAATAGAATGTTGAGCCCAATGGACCTGGAGCAAGCTCCGAACCCTGTCTCCATCTCCACCAGGTGGAAACTGGGTGGTGAACCACAGACCTCCCCCAGGAGTGGGATTAGGATTTGGGGGCAGGGCCAAGGAAACTGGTTAGGGCTCAGGAGGTGGGCAGGGGAAATGCAGGGCAGGTCTTGCAGAGCAGGCTGATGGAGGTTGGTTTAGGACGGGGGGGGGGGGGGGGGGGTGGGTGGTGGGTGGTGGTGGAGGTAGGAGGTAGGTAGTAGTAGACGAGACGAC